TATCGGGATCGGATGGTCGATAAGTAGATGGTATGGCGTAAGCGTAATACAGCTTTAAATCCAAACGAGGCATTGTTAAGCACGACGGAGGAAACGTTATTTTTCGCACACACATGTATTTAAATATTTTAAAAGAAAACATTGAGTGCAATCAGTATGGGCATTGAAAGAAGCTGCAAAGATCAAAACAATGATCCGAAACATAAAGTCCGGATTGTACAAGAGTACTGTATGATTGTCTGAAAGTCATCTTTCTCCTCAGCCCCCAGACCTTAGCCCTATAAAGAATCTATGGGATTATTTAAACAGAAGAATGAGAACAACACCGATAAAGAATAAGGAAAAACTAAAAATGAGATTGCGAGACGAGTGGAAGAAAAAAATGTACAATATCTTAAAAAAATTATATTTAGTATGCCGAAACGTTTGAAACATGTGATAAAACAAAAAGATTACGCTACTAACTGTAAGTATTAAAAGTTAAATTTTAGTTTCTAAAGTATTAATTATTTATAGTGTCCGAATATTTTTGTAACTCAAAAGATGATTGTGATCTCACTTCATTTATAATATTATTATATATATCAAATTAGTTAAATATGTTGCACATATTTGTATGGTACAATAAATATTCTATCGAAAGGAACAAGTCCGATAAAGATAAGAAACGAGTTCATTTCTTCTATAATTGACAAAGATATAAACCGCTAAAATCAAGCATGCCTTAGTGTTCAAATATTGTTGAGGTTCACTGTATTTATTAAAGAAAATACAAAAATTCAAAGTATAAGCTATTTTTCCACGCGAAAAACATCGAAAAAATTGGTTTTTGATTTTTGTAATTATATAAATCTAGTGTCTCGAAAGCTTTAATACGAAATCCGTAACTTTTTGCGTTTTTAATTTTTCACGCCTAGAATTTGCAATCGAAAAATCGGAAAAAATTCTTGAACACATATTTTACGTAATTTTCAAACTAGATTAAATATGGAAAATAGACACAATTTTAATAATCCAAGTTTTCCCTGTAAATACCATTCTGAACATGATAAAGGGTTGAAAGTTGGCACAGAATTGATTTTGATTCTGATGGTCTATCGATGGATCTATCGTGAGTCAAATTAGGTTCAAGAGAACATTTGGTTCTCTTATTATCCTTTGAAATAGTTTGGTGAAAATAAATTTTTCACCTATACGATTTAACGCGAAATCGCTCGTATGTTTTCCTGTAACGCTTCTTGTACTGTTATGGATGACACGAATTCGAGTTGGAACTTCTTTTTCGGTAGGTAGAATACAATTTGAAAAATTCTTTCGGCTAATCTTTATGGTTATATGTATATTTAGTTGGTCCTCATTTTTCGACCCTCAAAGTTTTTACTCCAATCTACAAAAAAATAGTGTGTAAAATAGTTGGACTCGACCCGACAACGGAAAAGGTAGCGCTCGAGATCCTACATTTTACATGCAAAATTCCATAAACGTTACTCCATTGCTACTCCAAGGGCTGTATCAGATTTGTTTAGTTACTTAGAGGTGCTTTTGTTTTATACTTTTATTGGTAATGAATGTCTCTATTAGTGCATCTAAAGGAAATAATAATTATGATAAAGAACTACAGATGGTAAAAAAATTAAAGCTGGTAAACATTACAGTATATAGTACAGTACATTACAGTACATATAATAAATTAATAACGAAAAACGAGGATCAAAAACAGTATTAGTTGAAAATAGTAAAAGATTATTGTAATTGCTTATATGATTGTAAGGAAGATATGTATTTACAATTAATGCAAGATAGTAATTCAAAATTATTCTTATGGTAAATGTTTACTTTAATGGCTTTGCCCTAAATCTGTATATTTTTGTATGGTGTTTTTACAAAAGGTTGAATCTGATTTTCATAAAGAAACATAGATGGGAGGAGGTTGGACAAATAACGCGCATCAGAATTTTTTGTACAGAAAAGGCTTAAGATTTTAAGAAGGTATAGTATCCATGGAGTGATCTCGATGATTTTTCAGTATGTTATAGAGGAGGAGATTGTGAACAAATTTTATCTGAACAATAATTGTGGCTCAGCCTCAATTTTCGAGATATCTACAAAAATTGTTCGTACTACCACATTCACTCCGATTGTACGAGTACCGTAGGCGCGTTGGGTTTGCAAGGAGTCGCCGATTGTCCTCTGTTTACATTGAGGTGACCGACAGGCGAGCGTATACATATGTATAAGGAGTGGACAAATCTAATCTAATCTCTAAAACTAATTGTTGGAATATTGATTAAATTAACTATCTAGTTTTAATGATTAGATTAGGTTTAGCTATATTTTTATCGTCGCTGAGTAGAGGACAGCTTGCAGCCGAGAACGAGTGCGACACTATGCATATATGAGTTATGTCTGGACTAGTATACTGAGAGGGCTAATGGTGAAATAACGACAACCCAAAAGCTACCCTCAATTATAACATACTTATCTTGTGGGTTTACGTACCACACGTAGGCTTTGCCAGTGTAATAACTTAGCAGTCTAACCGACTGTGAAAACTGAACTGTATTACTGACCACGTCCAACAGACTCGTCTTTAACAGAGAATGTCTTACGGGCTCTGTCTTATAACTAAGACTTATACATGCTCTTACTCAAACAGAAAAGGAAGAGAAAAAAGAGAGAGGCCAGAAAGATGAAAAAATGAAACTGGAAAATATTTAGTGAAGAGAAAGTTCAGCGCGGGCGGAAGAAGGTAATAAAAGTGAAGAGGCTCGCCGGACCCAGCTCGAAACGGTCCGAGGTCCAATGTTTTACAGGATGACCAGGCTCGCACGAGACCCTGGGAAAATGGAAAAAACAGAAAGTTTAAAAGTTACCTTTGCACGCATTCCATTCACACAATGACAAGGGTGTAGTGGCGATACAATGGCAGTCACAATACTATGGAATCCCACGCACCTCTACGGTGAACCTCTACGTGGCGCGTCCCCAGGGTGCGTATAGAGGCTACCACTGGGATGGGATGCGTGGATGGGGTCATCAGTCTGTGAGGGCTGGTCAAACACTAGTATGAATGTGTGTATGAATGGGTCTGGGTGATGCCTCACTAGAGTTCCCGGTCCCTTGCCAGATGCCTGAGGATAGTCACCGCGGGTTTTTAGTCAGTAAGAGTCTGACACTACCCGAGGGCTCCCCCTCCGGGAGGGTGAGACATGTAAGAGACAAAAGTATTCGTACACTTTTGTCCTGGCGAATTGTTACGATCTTGTAAATTTTATATCATTATAAGTTATACAGTGATACAATTAAATTTTGTTTGTATATATTTATTAATGTTAGTGTTTATATAAGATACATAATCAGATTTAGATAAATATAATAATAAATCAGAAAATATTCCCGTTTTTATTTCGATATAAGCATACGCATATTTTGGTCTCTCACTGTATACATATAATCGAATGCTGATTTTCTGCGGTAGTGGTATTAAAAGATATAAATAAATACCAACAGATACAAGAATTAAGAAAGTAATTAAATATGTGAATAACTTTGTTAGATGATTTGGAGGAACGACTGAGCTGCGTTTATGGGATTTTGTATGTTAAACCATGGGGCTCCGGGGGTTCCTATTCTCGTTATCGGATCAAGTCCATCTTTTGCACGCTACTTTTTTATGGATTCGAACCATTTTAGGGGGTGAAAGTAACAAAATTGTGCAAAAAGTTTGTCGTCATTTATAACTAAGGACCACCCTAATATACATACATATAGAGGGTGTTCGGCTACCTCTAGCAAAAATTTTAATGAGCGATAGTAGAGGCCAAAATAAGACGAAAATCAAGAATACTAATTTGTTGATGGAGGCTTCGTTGCAAAGTTATTAACATTTAAAGTTCCGCCTGTAGAATGACAATCCGCTAAACAGCTGCGTTCGCGCGGACGGTTGCGGCAGACGAGTGCTAGTGGTTCTCACGCAGCATGAAAAATTCTGCTTACCGACATTATCGACAGCCTTAGATTTTTGTCCACTTATGGGAATGCGAACACCTTACGTTGAATAAGATTCAACCTGTCTTATGAAAATCCAGAAGGGCATATCTAAACTCGCCCGACGAGATTTTCACAGAGAAAGGGTGAATGCCAGTTCCAATACACAATGTTGTGAACAAAAATCACCCACATGCGATTATACACGCCCCACGATTGTCCACAGTGTCCACAAGTATCCAGTGTTTACATTTTTAAATTGAAGTGTATTTGAAAAATTAATAACAGTTTTATTCGTAAGTAACTCGGAAGAATCGTGATACACGTACACGTAGACATTCACGAATAATATAATCGCGGTACGTGTTTATTTAATTGCATAGTGGTTAGTGCCTGAAAGGATTATTTGTGGATACTTGTGGACACTGTGGACAATCGTGGGGCGTGTATAATCGCATGTGGATGATTTTTCTTCACAACATTGTGTATTGGAACTGGCATTCACCCTTTCTCTGTGAAAATCTCGTCGGGCGAGTTTAGATATGCCCTTCTGGATTTTCATAAGACAGGTTGAATCTTATTCAACGTAAGGTGTTCGCATTCCCATAAGTGGACAAAAATCTAAGGCTGTCGATAATGTCGGTAAGCAGAATTTTTCATGCTGCGTGAGAACCACTAGCACTCGTCTGCCGCAACCGTCCGCGCGAACGCAGCTGTTTAGCGGATTGTCATTCTACAGGCGGAACTTTAAATGTTAATAACTTTGCAACGAAGCCTCCATCAACAAATTAGTATTCTTGATTTTCGTCTTATTTTGGCCTCTACTATCGTTCATTAAAATTTTTGCTAGAGGTAGCCGAACACCCTGTATGGAGAGAGAAACAGCGCATGCTCGTAAAACTCGGGGTTGAACATTCAGGGGTTAAAACCCAATTATTATGTGTTTTCTTTTATTTCTCCATGAAACGAACAGATTACAGTTTATCATAATGGAAAAATGGAAATTATCGTACTTTTATTATTCCCGAAGTATGCATGGTGATGCAGTTCGTGGGATCTTTACTTAAATGATACGCTGCTATACAAACTCCTCTGAGGACATCTTTATTTTTACTGGTCATATAAGTTACGAAAGGCGCGACTGCGTTTAGTTGGCCAAATTTGTAATTATTCTGTCCCCACTCGCTGCAATAAGCTATGGCCAATGTCAAATTTGCACGCAAGCTCTCATCATCCTGAAAAAATGAAATGTTAAATGACCGAGACATTTATGATTAGTTACTTGAATTAAAATACTTAATAATAAAGCATATAATAAATTGTTTAATAGGGCCATTTAAATCTTTCAATCTACTCCTTCTAAGTTTCCATGTTATACTCTGTGGGGATTACGATCCGCCTACAAAATATCCAAAATCCAATCACAGTACAACCTTGTTCTATAGATTGATGATTGCACTTAATTCCACCCCCGAGGTAGTGAATTATTATTTTCTATTATTTTCGCGCAATGGAACGCACATTTGCAAAGAGAAAACGTGAGAGGTCCAAATAAGGCGCAAACAAACCTTAACAAAATTTCTCCATGTCATGCCGTCAGCGTCGAATATTTATACAATATACAGGGTGTTGGACCACCTCTGGGAAAAATTTTAATGGGAGATTCTGGACACCAAAATAAGACGAAAATCAAGAATACTAATTCGTTGATTGAGGCTTCGTGAAAAAGTTATTAACGTTTATAGGTCCGCCTGTAGAACGGCAATCTATAAACAGCTGAGTGCGAGCGATAGATAGTTTCTCATGCTGTGTGAGAACCTTTGACGAAGCTCCAATCAACAAATTGGTATTTTTGATTTTCTTATTTTAGCCTCTAGAATCTCGCATTAACATTTTTCCCAGAGGTGGCCGAATACTTTGGCCGAATACTGACTTCCGAAAAGTATTCGACACAGTAGATCAGAATATACTAATTAACAAATTATACGGTTTAGACTTCAGAGGAAATTGTTTACGTTGGATTGGTTTGTATATTACTGATCGCATACAACGGATAAGAGTTAGGGGCAGTTTATCTAGAAGTATTTTAGTGACATCAGGTATACCGCAGGGCTCCTGTTGGGAATTCCAACAGTTATTAGCATACCCCTCATTTAGTTAATGTTATTTTAAATTACTGAATTAGCTATTTGGCAAGTACCTCATGGTACAAAGAAAATTGCCATATCATGAACGCGTTGAGCACCGTACTTTGGGACCATACCTGCCCCTTGGAACCGCGGACACCCACCCCTGTACCACCCTTAGTGGGCAGGATTTCGAATATCTGAGGACTGACCCACGAGGGATGGACAGGGGTTTGATTGGATACACAATGTCTCCACCTATTTTGGAATCTGTATATATTCGTAGAGCATAGGACTCTCCAAATTAGAACATTTCAAGAACAATACTTTTTAGGCTTTCGCGGCCATAGTGATTACTAGCTGAGAAGAAACACCTCGATTCCCTGTCAAGACAGCTTTTTTCACTTCACATTTTCCTTTCTTCCACTATCACTCACTTTCTCTGGGCAAAAATTGACCGCCTTTCTTTCGAACAGTCTGCCAAAACATATGTACTCAGAAGCAACAAACAAAAGGAGAAGTTTCAAAAACTCTGTCCGCCAAACCCGAACACCAACTCCTTGACTAATACAGTTAAAAACCTTACGGACGAACCTCTCTCGAACGACACTCTGTCTATCCTATCCAAAGGTCCAAACTTTGCAATCACTCCTCGACATATTCCTACTGAACAAATCATTTGCCAAGTTGAGAATGCGGTATTCCGACTCCCTCCTGAGGCAGCCTGTGAAGTCCGCAGACTCACAGCCAATGCCCTCAAACACGCCAAACTTCCAACCCAAAATATTACAAAACAGGAACACTTAGCACTCCTTAACCTCCGTAAAAACAAAAACCTTCTTGTCATGCCGGCAGACAAAGGCAACGCCACAGTCGTCATGTACAGGAAGGATTACTGTTGATGATCTATCGTTATGAAAGATTGAACTCAACCGCTTACATGCAGAAGAAAAAATGGTTTATTGAAAAGTATAATAATGGATATTACAAGACACGGAGGCGAAAAACTAAGTGAGAGACTTTCTCCGCGGTCAGGGTTGTCGCATAACTAACTCCAAACGGAGAAAAAGCCCGGCTTTATAGGCGTCGCCAAATGATCGGCAGATCTATGGGTTTTATGACCCGACCTGGGTCGACGTCGAGCAGGGAAAAATCGCAATGCTAGACATTGAAAATATATCTATTCTCAACACTCCCACTTATTTTGAATGTTCGCTAACATTTAATTTTTCTCTCAGATAGCCAAATAGCTGTTTTTGCAAAGGCTTAGTGAAGATATCAGCCAATTGTTCTTTCGATTGAACATACCTAATTTCTACTTCTCCACGATTAACGACATCACGAGTAAAATGGTACTTTATGTCAATGTGTTTCGAGCGCTTATGGTTTTCGGAACTATTAGCAATTTTTATTGCCGCTTGGTTATCAACAAAAACGGGGACAATATTGCACACAACATCCAACTCATTCAACATACGACGTAACCAAACCGCTTCTTTCACGCCGTGAGCTAATGCGATATATTCAGACTCAGCAGTTGAAAGGGCAACAACCTTTTGCAATTGACTGGACCACGAAATTGGTCCACGATTCAAAATGTAGACAAATCCACTCCTAGATCTTCGAGTCTCTGTGCATCCGGCATAGTCTGCATCCGTGAATCCCGAAATATCAAGCGAACTCCCACTGTTTCCGTAAACTATTCCGTGATCACGTGTTCCATTTAAATAACGCATTATTTTCTTTACCGATTGCCAATGCGTGTCATCGTAACAGCTCAGAAATTGACTTGCGTAATTGACCGCGAATTCGATATCAGGGCGAGAAACTCGTGCAGCGAACAATAAAGAGCCTATTGCCTCACGAAACGGTATTTTACTGTCAATTGCAGGTGTTTGTTTTTGCAAGGGCATACCTGGCTCCGCAGGTACACTTGACGGATTTGCTTCAAGCATGTTAAAAGTCTTTAATATTTTCTTAATATAGCCCGATTGAGAAATTTTTAAGAGTCGACGTTCGCGATCGCGTTTAATTTCGAAACCGAGAAATTCATCGGCCCGATCTACCGTGATTTTAAGATTACCTTTCAAATAATCTAAGACGCTCTTAATTGCATTCTCGCTTTTGCTCATAATCAAACCATCATCCACATACAGGGCTAAATACACCTTTGAATTTTTCACTACACCGACGAACACGCACTTATCACTTGCGATGTTCACGAGATTAAATTCGTTCAGAAACCTCGTGAACTTCTCGTTCCAGCATTTGGGTGACTGCTTCAATCCATACAGACTCCGATGTAGCTTGAAGACTGCATCCGGTTTGCTCTCAATTTCGTATCCTGGAGGCTGCTCCAAGTAAATTTCTTCTTGAAGATCGCCATATAGAAAAGCGGTTTTCACGTCGAACTTCATTATTTCATGATCTTCTTTCGCAGCTATTGCAAGAAGAATTCTGATGGACTCGTAGCGAACAACAGGTGCGAATGTGTCAAAATAATCGATTCCTTCTCGTTGTCTGAATCCTTTCGCTACAAGTCTCGCCTTGTATCTCTTCAGATTTCCAGCTGTATCATTTTTAATTGAGAAAACCCATTTGCACCCGATTGCACGTTTTCCTTGCGGCAATGCACATATGGTCCATGTGCGATTTTCTTCAAGAGCCAGCATCTCTTCGTCCATGGCTTCCTTCCACTTGCTGGTGTCGTCACTGGATATTGCCTCGGTGTAGGTCATAGGCACCGTATCAGCCAAAAAAGCGATAGGTACGCCGTATCGGTCAGGTGCTTGTAACGTGCTTCTATTGCGCAATTTTCTACCTTCCCGAGCATTTTCATTGGCTGCTACCTGCTCTATTTCTGGCAAAACTGCGTTTTCTTCATTTCTATTGTTTTCCAGGTCTCGTGTTTCGGCGACATCTTCCACAACTGGAGCTTGGTGTTCGGCTGCATCTTCTGGAGTAGGAGTCGTCTCTACTTCGTTTTCAATTCCGAATTTGATGATTATATCGGTTTCGGCATGCGTTTCGGCACTTGGTAGGGCACTTTCGTTGAAGGTTACGTCACTGCTTATAGAAATTTTCTTTATTCTATTGTCTCAGAGTCTATAATTAGTAGACTCTCCATCGTAACCGACGAATATGACCTGCCTGCTTTTTGGGTCGAATTTTTGCCGTCTTTCCTTCGGTACGTTCAGGTAGGCTACGGATCCAAAAACCATTAAATGGTTTATTTTAGGTTTGCGTTTAAACCACTTCTCGAACGGAGTAATTGTCTCCCCTGGCTTTAGGATGGTCCGGTTCAGCAGGTAGCACGCGGTGTTTACTGCTTCTGCCCATAATTTTTGATCCATGTTCTTTGCGTGAATCATAGAACGTGCACTTTCAATGAGCGTACGAATTTCGCGTTCAGCGCGACCATTCTGCTGATGAATGTATGGTGACGAGCATTCGTGGATTATACCCTTTTCCTCTAAAAAGGCCCGGAGTTGGCTGCAGGTATACTCCGTCCCATTGTCCGAGGCAGGACTTTAATTTTCGTTCCTGTTTGCGTCGATACGAATGCCTCGAACTCCTTAAATTTGCTGAACACTTCTGATTTATTGCTCATGAAGTATACCTTCCTATAGCTGGTGCTCTCGTCCTTAAACAGTAAAAAGAACCGCGTGTTGCTCGGTGAGTTTATGTTTACAGGGCCACAGACATCGGTATGAATTTTCTCCCCTGGCTCGTAATTGCCTTCAACCCCAATGCTTGGGTGCGGCCTTCGGGACTGCTTGCCCATAATGCATCCTTCACAAAAAAACTTTGTCAAATTGTCCTTTTCAATTCCGTCGATGCCGAGTTGTTCACACGTGTGTTTTACGGCGCGCACATTTACGTGCCCCATCCGCTCATGCCAAAGTTTTAATTTTTCTTGACCATCTGCTAATTTCAACGCTTTACAGTCAATTGGCACTTTCACTTTGAAACACATTTTAAACAGTTTTCCATGCGGTATTCCACGTGCGGCGAGTTTTCTTTTACTATCACGAACTTCACATTTGTTTTCAAACGAATGAAAAGAGTACCGTTTTTTATTTACTGACCCTATAGAAAACAAACTACAC